AAACTACTAGAACTAATATTGGAATTCAGCAAAGTTGCAGGATTCAAAATTAACACACAGAAATCTGTAGCTTTCCTATACACTAACAGTGAACCAATAGAAAGGGAAATCAGGAAAATAATTCCATTCACAATTGCATCAAAAAGAATAAAATACCTAGGAATAATCCTAACCAAGGAAGTGAAAGGACTATACCCTGAACACCACAAGATACTCTTAGGAGCAATTAAAGAGGTCACTAACAAATGGAAACTCATCCCATACTCCTCGCGAGGAAGAATCAATATCATCAAAATGGCCATCCTGCCCAAAGCAATATACAGATTCGATACAATCCCTATCAAATTACCAACAGCATTCTTCAATGAACTGGAACAAATAGTGCAAAAATTCATATGGAACCGCCAAGGACTCTGAATAGCCAAAGCAATCCTGAGAAGGAAGAATAAAGTTGGGGGAGGGGATCTCACTTCCCAACTTCAAGCTCTACTACAAAGCCACAGTAATCAAGACAGTTTGGTACTGGCACAAGAACAGAGCCACAGACCAGTGGAACAGAATAGAGACTCCAGACATTAACCCAAACATATATGGCCAATTAATATACTATAAAGGAACCATGGACATACAATGGGGAAATGACAGTCTCTTCAACAGATGGTGCTGGGAAAACTGGACAGCTACATGTAAGAGAATGAAACTGGATCACTGCCTAACTCCATACACAAAAGTAAATTCGAAATGGATCAAAGACCTGAATGTAAGTCATGAAACCATAAAACTCTTAGAGAAAAACATACACAAAAATCTCATGGGCATAAACATGAGTGACTTCTTCATGAACATATCTCCCCGGGCAAGGGAAACAAAGGCAAAAATGAGCAAGTGGGACTATATCAAGCTAAAAAGCTTCTGTACAGCAAAGGACGCCATCAGTAGGACAAAAAGGTATCCTACAGTATGGGAGAATATATTCATAAATGAAAGGTCTGATAAAGGATTGACATCCATAATATATAAAGAGCTCACCCACCTCAACAAACAAAAAGCAAATAACCCAATTAAAAAATGGGCAGAGTAGCTGAATAGACAGTTCTCTAAATAAGAAATCCAGATGTACAACAGGCATATGAAAAGATGCTCCACATCGCTAATCATCAGAGAAATGCAAATTAAAACCACAATGAGATATCACCTCACACCAGTAAGGATCGCCATCATCAAAAAGACAAACAAAAACACATGTTGCCGAGGTTGTGGAGAAAGGGGAATCCTTCTACACTGCTGGTGGGAATGTAAATTAGTTCAACCATTGTGGCAAGCAGTACGGAGGTTCCTCAGAATGCTCAAAATATAAGTACCATTTGTCCCAGGAATTCCACTTCTAGGAATTTACCCTAAGAATGCAGCACTCCAGTTTGAAAAAGACAGATGCACCCCTATGTTTTTATCGCTGCACTATTTACAATAGCCAAGATATGGAAGCAACCTAAATGTCCATCAGTAGATGAATGGATAGAGAAGATTTGGTACATATACACAATGGAATATTACTCAGCCATAAGAAAAAAACAGATCTTACCATTTGCAACAACATAGATGGAGCTAGAGGGTATTATGGTCAGTGAATAAGCCAGGCGGAGAAAGACAAGTACCAAATGATTTCACTCGTATGTGGAGTATAAGAACAAAGGAAAACTGAAGGAACAAAACAGCAGCAGAATCACAGAACCCAAGAATGGACTAACAGTTACGAAAGGAAAAGGGACTGGGAAGGATGGGTGGGAAGGGAGGGATAAAGGTGGCAAAAAGAAAGGGGGCATTACGATTAGTATGTATATTGTGTGGGGGGCACGGGGAGAGCTGTGCAACACAGAGAAGACAAGTAGTGATTTTACAGCATCTTACTATGCAGATGGACAGTGACTGTGAAGGGCTATGTTGGAGGGACTTGGTGAAGGGGGGAGCCTAGTAAACATAATGTTCTTCATGTAATCGTAGATTAATGATACCAAAATAAAAATAATAAAAAATAAAGAGTTCAATACCTTCAAGAATATTTACTGTTTGTCCTGTTTGATAAGATATTTCGTAGGGTTTTTGTTTCTTTAAAAGAAAGTATATGGTCAGAAATTGGTCAAATTGGAGACCAATATTCAGAGCCAAATGGGCACTTTTAAAGGCCTTCTTTCCTCAGCCAAAATGGAACTATGTACCAGAGGCAAAGACAACATTCCAAAGACTAACAACTCTAAGTCTAGAACACAGGAATCAATTTCTTAGTTGGAAATCTACCTGATGTACAGGAGCAGATTCAAGATAATGTAGTTCAATGAGTGGCTAGCCCCTTGATAGTCAGGTTGCTACCCAATTCTTTGAGGAATTAAAAACAGCACTCCTTGTCTTATAAATCAAGTCTTTACAAGAACAAAACTGTGAATCTAGAAGCAATTAAAAGCCTACCTACCCTTTTTACCAATTCCAAGGGAGTAAAATACCGTGCACTGGTTACCTCAGGGGAGGATTCTAAACACTTTTGCCTACTGCATCTTAGTATCAGAGGCACCAAAAAAATCCACAACACAGTAAAAGATTGAATAGAGCGATGTTTTAATTACATGAGAAAGATGCAGGGTAAAATAAAGAGTAAAAGGAAGAAAGACAGGGAATATCATATTTGCTCAAACTTGCTAAAATTGAAAGAATATATTAGAAGGTTTTTAAAATAAGCTTTATTATCAATAGTATACCTATGCAAAATCAAAATATAATTCTCTTTAGTTTGTTAAGAGTACAAAGTTTTCTTAGACTATTGGTCTGCTTTTGATAAGAAATTATGAGAGGTTTTTCTTTACCTTTTGGGTAATCTACCTAGAAAGCAAATACTGTGTTTCTTACCAATATAAGTTCCCATGTTTCATGTTATCTTTAGCAGGTCTTTGATTACTTGGGAGAATATAGTCTTCTCTATTAGAAGAGCAAAGGTTTTTACAAAAGCTGTATTTTCTTAGAACTATGTAACTTTCTGTATTTGTCTTAGAAGTTTTTGTCACTTTGGTTGAAATGACAACCAAGAGCATATTTAATCAAGTGTTCAAACCTGTCAATATTTTTCACAGGTTTACCATAATCATATTCTAAATAAAGCTTTCTTTACCTCCTTTGAGATTATGCAGAGGGCCCATGGAACACCTCAAAAATTTCTTCTTTCTCCTTATAAAAGAGAGATATTAAACTAATTGGGCTTTTATATATGTTAAATTACATAAGAAGCATTGTCAAATAAAAAGTTGTGGTAAACCTGCCTTAGTTTATATTTGTATAAATACATGTTATTGATGTAACTGTTCCAGAAATTATATGAAATTTCTGGAGATCTGATATGTCCTTGCAAAATCTTACCAATCATAATTGTAGTTATCATAAGTTGTTTTTGCCATAGAAATAATGAAATTTCCTTGTCAATTGCATTGTAATGAACTCTCATAATGTAATCATTGTCTCTTTCAAGTCTTATAACATTTACCAACAGTTTACAAAAGCAATAAGATGCTTTTATAAAAGTGCTTCCTCTTCAAAGAGATTCTTAGAAAAGACTCTGACAAGCACAGGTTTCTGATAACTTTAAGATCAAACCACTGAACTGCATAACAATTTTTCAGAATCTAATGGAAAAACTGATGGATTCATAAAACTGCCAACCCAAGATCAAGCATTAATGAAGAATTAATTACATGGGACTAAATGAACTGATGATGATTATTTGCATTTTTATGACTTTTTTTTGAAACATTGGTAGTTCTTTAATGTTTTGCTTTCCAGATTTAAAGAACACTTTTTCTCCTTTTAAGCTATCTATAACTTGCAGCAATTTGGTCAAATATACTTTTTTGTGAACAAAAATAGAACATGTATCTTTTTCTGTATATCTGATCCCTCCAGTATTTGGAAACATTGAATATTCTTAATTTTTGTAACAAATTAGGTATTTGCATAAATTCAGTAAGACTCTGTTCTTCTTGTAATAAGACAAGTAAGCAATCTTTGGCTTGTCTTTTTAGCCTAAAGAGGATTTTTAAAAATCTAATCTAATATTTCTTATTATCAGGCAGTTTTAAGAAACTCAGGTTAACAAAGCCCCTTAAATATCACTAAAGCTTTAGCTGAAATACCATATTTAAGAATATACATAAAATCACTATTCTTGCTGCACTTATATAAGTAATCATGCCTAATTTAATAACACTACACTTATTTTACAAATAAATTAATCATACTGTGATTATCTTTGCCAAAAATTGGGTAATTGCAGAGAGAAATTAATTTTCATTTGAAAACTATAATACATACTTGTAGATATCAGATTCTATTCCTGTTCGCTGTCTTTGAAGTTTTGGTTTTTGTTTGCCTGTTAACTGGATTGGATCTTAAATTCTTCTAGTTTCCTCCAATATCTGGCTATAACTGTTTAAGCTAGTATTATTTTTCAAAATTTCTTCCACTGTTCTGACTTGGAATCCCTGAGAACAAAAGCAGCCCTTTCCCCAATGTGTAACAAACTGAAACTAAATGACTTAGAAATGAACTTCAGAGAAATCACAGAACTCATGTATGGACAACCTTTTTGCCTATTTCCATGTGGGCCTCTCAAGAAGGTCACCAGAATCACCAGAGACATTCAAACTGCAAAAGATCCTTTGAGGCCAATGTCTAACAGCCCAACATCTAGAAGTCTTCTGGACTGGCTCACCCTGTTCTTAGAAACTGATTTATAGTCTGTGCCAACCACTAATCTTTGTTTTTCTTTTTATTCCATATAAATGCTAAGTAATGTTATTACTTCCTTCCACCACATAGGCCTAACTTTGGGAGCCCACCTACAGCAATGCCTCCTGGAATGAGACATAATTGTTTAATGGAACTGAACTATTCCCAGGACTAACTGGTTCACTGTCATAAAGCAATCTCCCAACTCAATTCTTTTTCTTCTTTCTTTCATTTAGGGGAAAACACTAACACAGTCTTCCATTACCAAAAATTATGCAGTCAAGTTTTCCCCATTTGGGAAAACTGCACAGGTCATCACATCTGGAGTGTAATGGATAAGCCTTGCCCTGAGAAAACCACCTTTGTGATCATGGTATATCCCCTGCCAGGTGAGTATCCAACTCAATTTGTAGACTATGAAACTTTTGGGGGAAATTTCAAAGACAGGGAATTAAGGCTTACAGAATATACCACCCCAAATGATGTCTCTTTGTCAAAAAAGGATTATTTTAAGCTGAACGAGAACCCCATGAAACAAACCAGTTGTTATCAAATAAATCAAAGAGTATGCCTAAACATGTATCAGTCTATTCTAAGCAAGTGAATTTTTGTTCTTCCTGATAATCATCATGGTAGTTCCCCTGGTGCTCTACATACTCTCAAGGGTCTTAAAAACATATTTGCAACCACTAACAATACATTAGATGGTCTCTGTGCTTGGAGAAGGAGAAAAAAATGGTAACCAAGAGTGGTGCTAATACCAAATTTTTGGTTAATTTCTCATGTGTAAGAGGATGGCCTAAAGGAGATAATCTTTAAAGTAATTAAACAAGGAGGCTATGAAAGCAAACCAAAACCCAATCCAGACTCAATGTGCTCAAATCTAAGAAAATGAAATTTAAGAAAAACCAATCACAAACTGCCATAACCAACCAAATAATTTCCTTGCTTTGCTTCCACTTGTCTGCTCTATAGAAACCTCTCACCTAGCTCCTGTCTGTGGAGCACTCCTAACCACTTTTGGTTTGTTGCTGCCCAATTTAGGTCAATGTATGTATAAATAAAATCTTAAAAATTTTAATGTGGTTCAGTTTATCAGGCTGTTTGGAGGATTAAACGAGATAACTATGTAGTTTCTAGCACACAATAAAGTGCTCAATAGGTGGCAGCTATTGATTATTCAAGTCACAGACTAATGAAAATGTTGAAAGAATTTAAACAAGTACACAAATAACTATAATTGAAGGTAGAATGAGGTAAGTTATCATAACAGAGACATTTAAGGTATGGAATTCCTTTAACGTTTCACGTACCTAGTCTGTGCTTTGTACAATACTCAACTCTGTAAAGGATATAAACATACAATGCAGTCTCAATCCTCAAGGACACTCACATACCTAATATGGAGACAGTAATCTGTATTTTATTTGTATATAGCCTTCATTTCTTCCATTACCACTACCATCACTTCAGACAAAATTCTTAACCATTTTTGCTGGTAATCATCTATCTACCTGGTCTCTGTCTCAGGGCTTTTCCCACTTGGGTCCATTTTGTGCATAGCCTCCAGACTAGATAACTCAAAACAACAGTTGTGCCTTGATATTCTGTTCAGAAACTTCATGGCTCCTTGTTCATAGTCCAAATTGGATAGATCTCTAAGGTTCACAGCAAATCTGTCTTTATGCAACAAGGCCTATGTATATTTCCTGTTGCTGCTGTAACATATCACAAACTTAATGGCTTAAAACAACACAGATTTATGGTCTTAGAATTCTGGATGTCTCACTAAGCTAAAGTCAGCAGGACTATGTTCCTTTCTGGAGGCTCTAGAATGTATTTCCTTGCCTTCTCCAGCTTCAAGAGACTGCTTGCTCTCTTGGGCATGTAGCCATATTCCATCTTCAAAGCCAGCAAAGGTGGTTGAGTATCCCAAGAAACCATCACTCTGATTCTGACCCTTCTGCCTCCCTCTTCCTTCTTTAATTAATTTCTGATTTCACTAGGTTCACTCAGATAATAAAGGATAATCTCCTTATATCAAGGTCAGTTGATCAGCAATATTAATTCCATCTTCAGCCTTAACTCACCATTGTCATGTTATATAATATATTTACATGTTCTGGGAACTATAACATGGACATCTTTGGAGGAGGGCAGGTATTATGTTGCCTATCATACCTATCCCTCCAGTAAGATGGTAGTAGACTCATTAAGGGTAGGAATCAGGTCTTACTCATCTCTATGCAAGACTATGATTTCAGTAATTTTTAAAAAGTTTATCTACCCAAAACAATTAAGCACCAAATAATAAGTGTGTATAATAAAATGCTGTATCAAAAACAATACATAGCAAAATGTATGATCCATATGCACTTTCTCTCTGTTTCTCTTTTTGTCTCTCTTTCTGTGATTGTCTCTGTATCTGGCTCTGTCATACACACGCATGCATACACACACATTGAACTACTATATCTCCTACATATGCCATCAGCTAAAAAAATATTGCCCAATTTTACTTTCTGTCACGTATGTAGCAAGAAATGCAAGTCATGTTTTATTTTCAAAATATTAAATTGTATTCTGATGTTAATATTTTCTTTTCAAACTGCTTAAGGACCCACAATGAGTCTGATATCCACTCACTTTTTTCCCATAACTAAAAAATGCTAGAGATGGTTTTGTAAGTTAGTGAGCCATACACGGCCAGGATAATATGAACTAGGTAACAAGGAGTGGGGTTATCGGGGAGGGAAATATCATGAACAAGTCTGGAAAAGAAGAAAGCACATGTCCCATGGTGAGAAATTTAGAAGGGCCTTCTCAGCTAGAGGAGGTGTTTTTAAACATAAGTTTGCCTTAGGAAGGTTAGATCAGACTGAAGAGACATTGAGTACCCAAATGGAGTATTAGATATCTTCTGGCCAAATCATACATCCTTCCCCATCCTCATTCAACCCAGGGGGATATCAATTTAGCTCAATAGGTTTCTGCAGTGAACTTTTCACTTCTTATATCACACTACTATTTTAGCTTGTAATATATTTCTGTTTCCCTCCCAATCAAGTTCTTCCTTCATTTACTGATTTTTGAAACGAATTTTATCTGTCCTTTCCCCCAAATGTAAATAAACCTCTTACTTCAAAACACAAAGGAGGGGTGGAACCAGCTGTCACCCAGACCTCATTAGGGATGTCAGGTCCTTAAACATGCTTTTGGAAGTGACATGGAGTTACAGTATTTGGAGGTGTGACAGGAATGTAGTGTATTTAGTGTTTTTCCTCAGGAGAACACCCAACATAGTTAGATGTGTCCCATATAATCACCTTTGGGCTAACAGGGCTACAGAACCAGGATCAAGAGAGTGGTGATGGAATTTTGGTGCCAATATTCAAAACATACAACATAATGTGCCTTGTAAATCATGTCTTTACAGAAGACCAATTAAAGAAATTATGTTTTACATCTTTAAATTGGACATGTGATGTACACTACTGCAGGAAGCTGAATTGGAGAATAATCAAACAATTCATAGGAAAACAGTTAGGGCATATACTGGAGAACTGGTAAATGTTGCCCATTAAGGAAAAAAGCTTTTGTGTCATAGTATTGGTTACTCAGTTACTGGTATACATACCTCATCAAGAGTGAGATAAAATCCCAGAGTATCAAGGGCTAAAAACTTAATGAAGAAGGCATACATGGCATATCTCTGCTTATCATTAACAAAGATGCTAATTATGCACTAGCCATCTTATTTCTGTGACTGACAAAATGCAAAAGGGAAATAAAAACCTGCAGAAGCATGAGGGTAGGTGGTACTTTTAGAATCCTGTAGCTTTTTATTTATTGGTACAATGTATTGCCATGATATCTTCCCTAGAAAAATTGTGAAAACAACCAGACATAATCTCCAAATTCTTGATATTATACTAAAGTCTGTAGCCTTCCATATGTGAAGGTACTGTATAAAAACTGATAGCTAGAAAGAAATTTAATCCAGCCAATATGAGATTAAGAGAACATGGTGCTGAAAAATGAAATTATACTATTGCCAGACAGCTATAAAGGTGGAAGAATTGTTCTTATAGATGATTAACTTGTCAGAGACAATACAATACCACCAATAATAACATATCTAAGAGAATATCATGCAAAAGAAATAAACGTTCAAGCAGCTTCATTACTAATAAGATTGTCATGCTTCATAAGAACAAACATTTCCACAAAAGAGTTTATTGCCAATAAATTTTATTGTCTTGCAGAATAGCTGGGAGCAAACTGTGTCATGTATCTCTTAGCAGAAGTACTGGTTTCATCTGTATGAATAGACATAAAAATCATTTTAAAAATCAGAAAAATGGAAAAGCAAGAGATCATGATTCAAGAAAATGGGAGTATTCTGAAATGTTTTGAACTTTTGGTAATTGTACAGCTTATTTCACTGGAGAATACTCTGTTTAATTGGAATGGTAGCTTTATGATGTTTTATTCAAGATATAAAATTGGTTTAAAAATGACAGCCTTATTAAAGGGTAATTATTTAGTTGGCACAATGTAAAAATCATACATGCTTTATGTTTTACCTTTGTAAGTTTTAGCATTTAATTGAAAAGGGTATCTAAGTAGATTTACTTAATTTAAAACTCCTACACAAATATTTTAGTTATCTAGGAACTTAGGTGGTCCTTTCAGTTTCACTAAAACTTTGAGGCTACCAATTTTAAGCTCATATACATTAATTTTCAGATCAGAAATGATACAAATAGGTATGTATCTGTATTAGAGAACACCAGCTACTATACCTTCCCAAGAATCTTATAGAATTTTGTGAAATGTTTTTGAGAGTTGTTGAAATTCACTTATGGAATAATTTCATCATTGAAGTGTGCTAATTTAATATAGTACAGCAATATGTTCTATTCTTTTTATACAAATATTGGCTAACCTCGTATGCCTTGTCAGAAAAGACAGGTAGTAAATGGCTTTTGCTAGGTCCATGCTTTAAAGGGTTTGCAAGAGGTTAGACCAAATCAGGAGATGTATGGCAAACAGGAGAGGAAAGTTAAATGCAACATTTCTTACAAAGCTTAAGTCAATTATATCTGTAGGTACATAGCTCCTACTGACTTCTGATTAGAATTATAACTCTGGCTTCCCTATCTAAACTTAGATAAATATTAAAAAATGTGTCCCTCATTTTTCCCATCTGTAAAATGGGCAGCTTATCTAGCTAGGCTAAATAATTAATAGACATGTGAATAAGTATCATAGTTTTGTTGGTTAGAGTCATATCATACCTCCTTCGAACTTTAAGATGCTTCATAATTATTTGCTTTTGGAATGTTCTTCACTCCTTCGAACTTTAAGATGCTTCATAATTATTAGCTTTTGGAA